GAGGGAGCTGCGGGAGCCCCTCCGGCCCCGGGGGGGTGCGGGGTGAGGGTGGCTGGGACCTGGGGTCCCCATCCCCGGTGTCTCCTCGGGGCCGGGGCCGCCTCACGGGAGGCTTCACCGAGTGATTTCGCCGGTCGGCGGCGTTCGCCGAAGACCTTCCCTCCTCGCCTCGCCGAGACCTTCCCTCCGTCGCCTCGTCCGGCGGCGGCGGGGTGGGCAGGGGGCTTCAGGGCGGCCGGAGCTTCACCCTTCCCTCCCGGCTCTGCTCCCGCAGCGTTTGTCACCTTGCTCAACGGGGAACAGGCGGAATCGGCCATCAAAAAATTCCACCTGAGCAAACTCCGGGAGAAGGAGATCTCGGTGCAGCTGCAGCCCACGGACGCCCTCCTCTGTATCGCCAACCTCCCCCAGCTCTACACCCAGCAACAATTTGAGGAGCTGGTCCGACCTTTCGGCAACCTGGAACGTTGTTTCCTGGTCTACAGCGAGAAAACGGGACACTCCAAAGGTTACGGATTCGTGGAATACATGAAAAAGGATTCGGCGGCCAGAGCCAAGTCGGATCTGCTGGGGAAGCAGCTGGGCACGCGGACTCTCTACGTCCACTGGACGGACGTCAACCAGTTGACGTTAGACCTCCTCCATTCCAAGTGCTTGTGCGTCGACAAGCTGCCCCACAACTACGCCGACCTCGAGGAGCTGCGGCAGGTCTTCTCCGCCGCCTGCGCCCCCGCTTTTTGCCAGGTGAGGGGCGGGGAGGGGAAGCGGGGAGGATTTTTGGGGGCGTAGGGCTGCTTTTCTAGGGGTGCGGCCTCTCTCCGGGTCCTCCCGTCCCCGCGCTCTTTGTTGAGCTCGCGGGGAGGTTGACAGCCCGAAGGAGAGCGGCGGCGCCCCAGGGTCCCACCGGCCTCGTGTCGGCGCGGGAGGGTCTCTCGGGTCTCGCTGGCGCTCGTTCCCTCTTCTTCCCGTCGCGCCGACGCTCCTTTCGGCATCCCTCTCTTCGCCTAGCTGGCCTACGGTCAGGACGGGCAGCTGAAAGGCTTCGCCGTCCTGGAGTACGAGTCGGCGGAGATGGCAGAGATGGTTCAGCAGGCCACGGACGGTTTGCCGCTCGCCGGGAATCACGTCCGAGTCTCCTTCTGCGCTCCCGGCCCTCCCGGCCGCAGCATGTTGGCCGCCCTGATAGCCGCGCAGGCGACGGTGAGGTTTCTGTGTGTGCTGCTGCCTCCTCCTCCTCCTCCTCCTCGCTCCCTCTTCCCCGCGCAGCTTGCCGTCACCGTGACAGGTGCCGCCGGCATTTCCAAGGTCCGGGTATCCAGCCCGGAGCAGGCTGTCGTGGAGCAGCCGGCGCGTTTCCCATCGGATCCCCCGCGGAGCGGCCGCCTGTTGCCTGTAGCTCCCGCTTCCGGGCAGGTCTGGCGTTCCCAGGCTCCGGCCGCACGGCACAAATTCCACCCACCCACCCTTGCTCCCGCG